GTCCTATAGCTATTCACGTATTCAATTGACAATTAGTTATACGTATATGTCAAAAGTTTTTGGGTTGAAGCGCTCCTGATGACGGTAAATCAAGAAAACGCTTTGGACGCACCAAATAATAAAGTTGTCTTCATTTTACGATTTACATTTGTACTTCGTATTTTATACTCAATCGATTATTTCAGAGTATTTCAGATATATATTCAAAATTCTCAGTCAGGTAGATTGGTATATTTGGAAATGAGAACGAAACATCAGTTTAATAGTGGCTAATACACAGTCATTTGGGTTTTTCAGTGTATGTCCAGGACAAAAAAGGAGCAATGAGCAATATTAAACAAGTAATGCCAGTAACGAAACCCCCCAGGTATGCCAACATCTTTATATACGTGCAAAAAAAAAAAACAACAACCGACTCCTCTGGCAAACAGACGTGCTGAAAAAGACAACAACAACCGACTCCTCTGACAAACAGACGTGCTAAAAAAGACAACAACAACCTACTCCTCTGGCAAACAGACGTGCTAAAAAAGACAACAACAACCGACTCCTCTGGCAAATAGACGTGCTAAAAAAGACAACAACAACCGACTCCTCTGGCAAACAGACGTGCAAAAAAAGACAACACCAACCGACTCCTCCGACAAACAGACGTGCTAAAAAGACAACAAAATCCGACTCCTCCGACAAACAGACGTGCTTAAAAAGACAAACAATGAACACACGGTACAATCATAAACTGTTGGGGTTTAACCAGTGGTTTAATTCGAGTGCCACTGGGGAACATTATGTAGACGAAACGCGCACCCGGCATACTAAATGAAAATAACACTTTATTAACTTTGAGTGTTCGAAACGCTTTTCTGGATTTACCTTCATCTGGAATCCGCAATCTTAAAAAATTAAAAGCCAAGGGTGCATAAGACCTAAACACATGAAGAGTTATATGACAAAAATTAAGCCAAATTTGTGTAAGTTAAACTTTGCCTGAGGAAGTTCGAACCTTCATTGTTTAATAATTTCATAATTGATAAATCATGAGTGTGATATTTATGACGAGTTTTTATGTGCGCACAAACCTACACTTTTATTGATCGCGACCACGTTATAAAAATTAAATACACAATTCAAAACCTACAAATTGAAGGTAGCACCAGAATCGATACCTTGAACAGTGAAATTATTTGGTTAGCAGGATAAAAATTTGCTCGTTACATCAGGAAGACAGCTAAAGTAGCCATAGCTTTTGATTTAATTCTGCCGCACAGGAAAAAGTATAATAGCTAAAATACCGAACTCCAAGGAAAATTCAAAACGGAAAGTCCTTTATCAAATGGCAAAATCAAAAGCTCAAACGCATCAAACGAATGGAAAACAACTGTCATATTCCGGACTTGGTTCAGGCATTTCGTTATGTAGAAAATGGTGGATTAAACCTGGTTTTATAGCTAGCTAAACCTCTCACTTGTATGACAGTCGCATAAAATTCCATTATATTAACAACAATGTGCGAGCAAAACAAACAGACATAATAGGTAAAATTGTCAAAAATTGGGGTACAGCAGTCAACATTGTATTATAATCTTAATCACTACAAAAACACATAACTATTTCAACAAAGAAAAACAAAATGGCATATAGACACTCTACAGACAAAGTAAAAATGAAAGACAAGATTACAAAAAATGACCATAGCACAATAACACAATGGTGGGATAACAAACCCCAAAGAACACTAATTACAGATTTTATGAAGTCTCTTCATAAATTTAATAGAAAATGATATAATTTGTTTGAAGCCAGTAAGCATTTAAAATCTTCAGAATATCAGTGAAAAAATACATTTAAATGAATTAGTAAGAAAATCACGCCTCGGTTGAGGGATGCAAGAATTATCATAGTTATATTCAAAAGTCATCCTTAACCAGCGACTTTCAGGATTTCAGAAATACTTTCAGAACATCTTCAGTAAGTTATGGCATTATGATCCTATTGATTGATTTCGTGATCCAAATCTTATCGAATCTAGACTAGCTTGACATGCACTTGGTTATATCTACCCAAAAAGGAAAGAAGGCGGAAGATACCAAATGGATTTTCAAACTAATACGTCGAAGACAAACTGACTACGCCATGGCAAAAAACAAACAAAAAGACGAAAAGACTAAAAATAGTCTACAAAAAGCAACACAGAAAACGAAAGACTGAGCAAAAACGAGCGCTGCCAAGCTATGAAATATTGATGTTGGGATTACATTTGTAAGCTGTGCTAGCAGTTCTCTAGCATTGTAAAATACTATGATGGAATCAACGGCATCAACTCCTGATAAGTTTTACATATAAGACTATGTGCTAGTTTCTTCCCCTATTTTGTTTTGATTGTAACAGCTGTGTTCTTCACCCATATGTTCTAGTTAAATTGCTGGTTGAATATACAAATGATATATTATTTTCAGAAATTAACTTCTTTTTTTATTTCCAAGAAAAGTATAATAAAAAGAAATAAATGAATTATGATATTTTTATTATGGTCCATCATAATTTACTACTTATTTATTACAGGAATCATTTCGTATATACTAATATATTATTGTATTCCGATAAAACATAATATGCCTGCATGTCTTTGTTTGAACATTTGCATTCAAGACTTGCATCTTGTGTTCGTAAGTATGACACTATTTGATTTAAACAATATAATGCACGAGAGAACAAACATGAATAGCATTAATATACTGCACGTTGACATAATATCAAATACAAACTCATCCAAACATAAAAATCCGATAAAGCATAGAAATAAATAAAAGTAAATGGTGATATCTTTGTCCTGGGAGTTAGCCTTTGTATATATATGATCCATCCGAAGGCTATAGTTTGCAAAGTGTCTAATAGTCGGACGCTGAGTTGGATCTCTATCCCAACCAGACACTATGAAACTCAGTAAAGTTTTGTTGACGGAGATATTTCTGGGTATTGCAGGTGTCAAACCTGATTCGCGAATCTGTTTTGCGGCTTCTGAAATATCCAAAGTTTGGAAAGGCTCCTGTTCAAAAATAACTTCAAATATTATCAATGAAAATGAATAAACATCTGCCATTTTTAGAAACTTCATGTTGACATACTCCTCACACAATACTTCTGGTGCAGAATAACGTGAATTCTGTTCAGAACGCATATACTTTTCCCCTGTTTCGTTCAAGATCTTTACGCCATGACTAAAGTCACTTAATTTCGCCACTAAAGAGGAACCCGGCGTATAGTGAAGGAGAACATTACGAGCCTCTAAACTACAGTGTGTCATGTCTTTTTTGTGGAGATATTCAAGTCCCGAAGCAACCTGTTGTATAAGTTTGACCTTTTCCCATTCAAGAAATTTTATATTTTCCTCAATATGAAGTGCTTCGTATAAATTTGTCTGCATAAATTCGGTGAGTATGCACAGATTTGGATGAACTATGGAAGCACCTAGATATTTTACAATATTGGAATGTTCTATGGCACTTGATAACAATATTTCATTTTGAAATTTTGTTGTTGTCCTTTCTGAAACTTTATGTACATCAATCATCTTTGTTACAACAATTGTGTCGTTCCATCGTGCGATATGCTTTTTACAAAACCCCTGCACACTTAATGTTCGAATCATTTCGATGTTTTCAAAATCAACTACTTTTCCAGTATACCCTTTCATGGTATAGCTTTCCTTCTTCGGTTGGGGTTTTGTCTTATCTTTTCGGTCATTCAGGGCCTTAGGCCTGGAGTTTTTAAACTGTACTTCTTCGTTGATTGCAGACGTATGTAATTTTAAACTATGATCCTGAGAATAAAAAATATATTTTTATTCAATTTCATAGTTAATAAAGGTAATGAACACATAAACTCGTTTTCCAAAATAACTATTACAATTACATTCCATTCTATTTATCTAATTAAAAAAAATGGTTTTGTGTCATTATGCAATTAATATATGTGTCCCTATGAAGCTGATATATTGTAATAGATAATTACATACAAGCCATGAAGGTCATTATTTTCTCTCTAAAATAAGATACATATATTCTATCATCTGTATTGTCTTTACTTTTTTCTGAAAAATTGTATTCACAAATGAACATATATCTTCTTATATCTATTTAAATTTTCTTCTCTAGATTAAGCAAATAAAATAAAACAAGCTAATTCATCGAAAGCATCGAAGTCCAAATGTAAAACTAAAGCTGCCCTCCTTGATCCAATAATTCTTTTAAAGAAAACCTTTAAAAATATTACAGTTCGGATATTAAGCTTTGGATTTTCAAATATTTTGGCCTTGTGCATCACTGAAGAAGCATTGATTGTCGAAATGCGCATCTGGTGCAGAACAAATGGAACCGTTAATGTTATTACAAACTTATACTTACGGGATGAGAAAATCGGATTTGTTTTCCATGATCATCACTTTTCCTCCTTGACTTTAAGTTTGAAGAGGAAGCATCATTATTAGTCGTGCTTCTCTTTTTCTTCTGCTCTGGTTTGGGTCTGTTTTTATCTGCCATATAGTTTGACGAACTTACTTGGTAAGACGTTGAAGGTTTCCGACTTTGAATATAATCATCATCTGTAAAATATGAATGAGGACTACTGCCAATTGTACTTTTATTAATAGTATTGTCCGCGTTCTCATCTTCAATATTGGACTGCAGATCAAAGTTTTCTATTCCCGTATGTATGAATCGCATTGTTTCCTGATACTCTGAACCTATGTTGGTTGTATTTTGAAATCCTGACGCTGATTCATGATGTTGTGACATCAATGTAGTTTCCGTCATTTGTCCAAGTAAGGCTTGATTTTCACACTGACCCTAAAAATATTTAAAACAGTTCTTACTTAATCTTTTTGGAAAAAAATCAACAACACAACTAAAATGCATTTTATTAGTTATTCTTATAAGAAATACTTTTGATATCAAATAATGACGACTTTTTCGGCATTTATCTCGAGTTTTTTTAAAAGTGTTTTATTCAATTATTATAAAATGACGATCTTGTTCTGTTTTTTCAAGGTCGGTTGTATTCCGCCATCTAGTCCATACATCATTTTCTGATTTCTATTTAGAATATGAAAATGAAAGAAATTATCAGAATAAAAAAATTAAATGACTTGCTATGATCTAACACCAGTGCAATCATTCAATAAACATTGTGAGAAAAAAAAATAAAAATAGTCCCGTAGGACGAAATGAAAACTTATTCATGTTTTAGAACATACATATATTGTATTATTGAAGTTTTAATAGCAAAGAAGAGATTTATGAAGATACCCCTTCTTATACATTTGTTAAGTCAATACAGCTAAACTTTCTCTTTAGTAACAATGTTACCTGTTCCACTTCCTTGACAATTGTTGTGTCGCAGGTCTCATCATTTGTTCTCCATTTAGTCCATATTGTGTCTGATTCCTATTTAAATATAAAATAATCAACACGTTAAAATATGTATGGGTGCACACACAAGTCTCCCAAACCCCATTTAAAAATGGAAAGTGGTTCTCATAACGTAGCCTTATCTGTCCAACAATACTAATAAAAAATAAATCATCTTTGAAATAATTATGTAGGTTATTTATCCAGTCATAGTGCAGTAAGCATTTAAATATCATGAAAAAATGCATCCCTTTTAACCCCAAAATGCAGTAAAATCCCTCATTTAATAATATGTTATGCATGGGTTCTCTTGGTCACTCCTAACCTATATGGTCTGAAATGAATATGTCCAATAATGACCTAAAAATATGTTTGTAATTACAATGTACTTTTTATACATTGTGACTTCGATGGAGAGTTGGCACTAATACCACATCTTATTTATATTTACACCGGTTTTGGTCTCTATAGTTCACAGATTCACCTTCCGGAATACTTTTTTTTCAAAATAAGTATGAAGAAGATACATATACTCACTCACATTAATTTCCTAAAGAAATTCCGACCTTCTTTGGAACCTCTAAAAGTACCCTTAAAACATCCTATGCACAAATAAAATCCTTTAAGCGTAACTAAATGTGTAAATCAAATTAATGCAAAACGTTTTAAAGGTATATTTGATTACTATATCAGTTTCTGAGACCTACCACAGCAACAATTATGAAGAAAATGAAGAAAAACAAAAAGAAATGAACAACAAAATAAATCTGCATACTCCATTCGGGATTGTCTAAATAAGTTCTAAATGGTGTCCCAAACTGTGTCATTGGATAATATGGCCATATCTCAATGTTCAAATGTTCAAATGTACAAAATATATCGTTTGACTGACTCTTTTAAAGTAAATTGATAATTCGAAGCCTTACTTCTGGTACATGTCAGACCATTGTAAACTTGCAACAAATCTCCGAGATGCATGTAGGTGGCAAGTTGCTCCGTGGCAAAATGTTAGCATATCCAAAATACCCTGATCTTTCAGTAGCAGTCCAAATTTCCCGCTCTTTAACCCGGTTGTCCCAACTTGCATAACTTAAGCACTCAATGGACTATATCCTATACATTTACCTAAATTTTGGGAGCAGCTTCACTTACTTTGTCGTCTTTCCACTGTAGCTCAAGTTATTAGGTAGATTACAATTTACCTGTTAATTCATCTATAAAAAATGACAAGAAAACTGATATGTACCTGTGGATTTGTATTCGTCATTGTCCGGGGTACAGTATTATTCTGATAACTATAAGGTCCTTGGTTAATTGGCATTACATTTGTTGTGTCCAAGTCCGTTGGATTCCGCCATCTTGTCCACATTTCATCTGTCGGTGCCTGTATCATAATATAAATGTTTGTAGCAACATACAACTAATTAATAGATTATTACATTTTGTATAATGTAAACACTTCCGGATGTTCATTCTTCATGTATGGGACCTGCAATATTAAAAAAAAATGGAATTTATCGAATATTGATTGGATAATAAATATTAAATTGTTGCTTGCTTTACGTTCGGTGAACTTATCGAATAGTAATGTTTTAACAAGAACATGTCTACAATCGCATTTGTTCAACCATTCCTGTTTTAAGAGTCATTGCATAAGTATTGTGGTCACCATGACGAACTGGATGACCGATACGATTTGTCAATGTCTTAACTCACTAGTGACATGTTTTCGCGATCCATGGTCTTAAATCTTTAGATACCAGTATAGTCGCCTTATCTGTAATTTGACGGATTGTGTCCCATTCCCGACTGTACATTTTGACTCAGTGCTGATTTTTTCAAAGTAAACCCTGTTCTATGTAGACTATTATTTACCTCTTAATTCAATTATAAACAACTGACAAAAACACTATAAATACCTGTAAATTTACATTCGTCGTTGTTCCGGACACAACATTCTCCTGATGACAAAAACTGTAAGGGCCTTGGTTATTTGGTATCTCATTTGTCGTGTCTAGATCCATTGGATTCCGCCATCCTGTCCATGTTTCATCTGCTGGTCTCTGTATCATAATATAAATGTTTGTAGCAACATAAAATTAAAAATACTATTAATACACTTTGTCGTAATTCAAAACATTTCTGTTTGTTCATTCGGCAAGTATGTGAAATGCAGCATAATGTCAGTGTTGTTATTATTTTTTTTTTAAAACATGCAAAAAGAATCAGAAAACAGAAGCAAGGTTGTGTATGAAGTAAGTCGATATATATTATAGTAGTCAATGCATTTATTTAAGTAATTCTAGGTGATCCTGAAACATAAAACTACTCGAAAATAGTTATGAGGTAAACGAATGATATCGAAACTACTATACATACGTTTTTCTTTCACCATCACGAATTGGTTGATAGATTGTCAGATTCTGACATTTTGACTGAGTAAGAATTCGTATGGCGGTTGATATTTGCATAGCAGGAGACGTTTTTACCCTGTCGACGCACCCGTTCTCGCTCCTATTAGGGTTTTTGTGATTCCTCAGTTTTTTACCTTGATTTGTATCTTCATTATGGCTTTAAGAAATCTGAACATCGGTAAACTGATGTTGCCTCTAATTTAGATGACCATTTATTTTTGTAATTTTAATCTTTGATTTGTCTTCCAGCTGATCCATTTTTTGTCTGATTTATTTGGAAGTTGCAAATATAATTAGTTATACCTTGGACATAATATGTTATTATAATAGTCCCAGGTTATACATTTGTTCTCATCGTAAATCTGTTTTTTTAAGTGTTAAGATGATTGACTCATATTTGAAAAAAAATGTGTCAATTTGACAGCAACCCAAAGACAAAAATAACAAAATGAAATGTATGTATAGTCTGCATAATAGACATGTGTTTATACAATATATGAATCTCAAGTTGAGCAAAGTGATCAATAAATGTGAATATTACTTAATTTAATACGCAAAACAACAAATAGTGAATATGGCTTTTGCTGCATGCTGAAGTTCTGGACTTGCAACAGGCACATACACATACGACGGGATTAAACTAGAGTTTTTACATGTCAATTCATCCCCTTAATACTTTTTTGATCAGCGGATTAACAAAATGTAAATAAAGATATAACAACTATATCATATGCAGTAATTCATTTGGGTGTCGTTACTTGATCTATTCTATGAAAGCTTTGAGTGGATTTGCATCCTAGGTATTTCTCAAAAAAAAGTTAACCGTATCTTTGGTTCTTGATTTATATTTAATGTTAGGACATGTTATATGTAGATGGCAAGCTATTTATATACACTGAGTAACACAAACACCACAAAAAACTGGGGTGATATAAGATGCTCCGGAAAGGTAAGCAGATCCTACTGAACTAGTGGCACCCGTCGTGTTACTCATTTTAAGTAAAACTCCGGTGATGTAAAAAAATCCAGGAAAACAGTAATTACAACAATATGAACACCTTCGTGGTCATCTGTGACACAGATATTCCATAGCGTAAAATCACAAAAATACTGAACTCCGAGAAAAATTCAAAAAGGAAAGTCCCCAATCAAATGGCAAAATCAAAAGTTCAAACACATCAAACGAATGGATAACAACTGTCATATTCCTGACTTGGTACAGACATTTTCTTATGGAGAAAATGGTGGATTGAACCTGGTTTTAAAGCTAGCTTAACCTCTCACTTGTATGACAGTCGCATCAAATTCCAAGATTCGTAAGATTTTCAGTGAAGTTAACATTCCAGAGAACGATTTATAAGTTAGTGAATAATTTTCCCATCCCGACAATTCTTTAGGGGTTCTGCTATAAATTTGTTTGATTGACAGGTATACCATTTTGCCTGATTGACGCCAACCTGTAAGTGTAGTTTCAGAAAAGTGTTGATAATAAAAGATAATTTTACGTTGTGACAAAGAAATGAAATTACAATAAAATAATAATTAACAACATCAAAAATTGTGAAGTAAATTCTTCCTTTATTAACAACTAGAAAAATATTGATTAATTGCTTGAATTGTTAATTGCGTATCGTCCGGTGACGAATATTTTAAGCATATCAGTTCACGGAGAAAGACCATGTTCATGTAAACTGAATGAAACGACAAAACACACAGTAGCATGTATCTATTCAGCACACGCGTGAAAAAAATACAAAAAAGGGCAGGAACTAATTTTTCCTTTAAAAAACCGGGCAGGGGTCGATAAGAATAGGAGAAAAAGGTTGGAGGAAAAACGTGGATCTGGTTTTCCTTAGATCAGATTTTTTAAAATAAAGCAACCTATTTTTCTGTACTTAAATTTAAGTATTTCTTCAAATATGAAAGGATATGATATATACAAATATTATTTGGGTATTTCTCTTCGTAGTTTCTCCTCCCCCTTCCAACTCAATGTTTTGTTAATATGTTGTATTTACATTTTGCTGTAATTTGTAGGAAAATTAGCAAATCATATTGCATTTTGTCTTATCATTTCATTTTTACTGGTCGTAGGGACGAAGCAAGACACACCTCTTCAAACAAAGTTTTTTACAAGACAGCAAGATCGAAGGAAAAGTACCATTCATATAACAATTATTCTGTAAATTCATTTATAAACAACTGACAAAAACAGTTACTTATATGTACCTGTGGATTTAGATTCGTCCTTATCCCGGGTACAGTATCATCCTGATAACTGTCAGGGCTTTTGTTATCTGTCGTATCTAGATCAGTTGAATTTCGCCATCTCGTCCACATTTCATCTTTTGGTCTCTTTATCATAATAAAAATGTTTGTATCAATATAAAATTAGACTACCAGGGAATGTTTAATGACCTAGATTACCCATTAGCGTCTCGCACGCTCGGTGATATACAATTGTATAAATTTATTATTACACGTTGCCATAATTCATATATTTATTTATATTTCCTACAGGTAGAAATACTCTTAAGTATCGTTGGCCTCAATTGGCTCACATTGAAATCGTCAATCTAAAGGGTAGAAATGACGAAACAAAAATCATAAACTTATCAAAATAAGACATTACAAACAGCATATTCATCTATACCCGAACCTCCTGTATTCAAAACACCTATCCATTATTTATACCTGACAAAACTGCTGGAATTCTGATGCAGACGTATTTATTTCACAAGCATGTTTTTGACGTTTCTTTCGTTCTTCTGCTTCATATTCAACTTTACTCTGCCACATAGTCCACTTCTCAATTTCCTCTTGCTGAAACAAAAAAATATATTTGGAAATAAACCCTGATTTTTGGCTGATAAAATATTATGTTATTTAATTTTCAAGGAGCAAACTCCAGATGAATTAAAGATAAGAATACCCGACAGTGCGAAACCCTCAAGGGTAGTCAAGGTCGTTAAACACCCCCTAGTAGATAAGAACAAGAGAAAAAAAAGTAGGGAGAGCAAACATGGTTCTGGTATACCTTGGATAAGATTTTTTAAGTATGTGCAAACTATTTTTCTGTATTTAAATTTTGGTATTTCTGGAAAATGAAAGGATTTGATATATACAAATACTATTCGATTATTTCTCTTTGTAATTTCCCCTCCCCTTCCTAAATCAATGGTTTGTTAATTTGTTGTGTTTACACTTTGCTTTAATTAAAATGCCTGTACCAAGTCAGGAATATGGCAGTTGTTTTTAACGTTTCGTTTATTAATAGCGTTTGATTTTGTCTGTTTTATGGACTTCCCCTTTTTGAATTTGCCTTAGAGTTCGGTATTTGTATTATTCTTTTTTGTAGGAAAATTGGCCATTCATATTACATTTTTCTTATTATTTCATTTCACTGCTCTTAGGAGGAGGAACTAGACACACCTCTTCCATCACAGCTTTTTACAAGACAGTAAGATCGAAGGAAATTACCATTCATATAACAATTATTCTGTAAATTCATTTATAAACAACTGACAAAAACAGTTATATATACATGTACCTGTGAATTTAGATTCGTCCTTATCCCGGGTCCAGTATAGTCTTGATAACTGTAAGGGCCTTTGTTATCTGTCGTATCTAGATCCGTTGAATTTCGCCATCTCGTCCACATTTCATCTTTTGGTCTCTGTATCATAATAAAAATAATTGTATCAACATAAAACTACACTACCACGGGATGTTTAATGACCTAGATTACCCATTAGGGTCTCGCACGCTCGGTGATATACAATTATATAAATTTATTATTACACGTTGCCATAAATCATATATCTATTTATATTTCCTACAGGTAGAAATACTCTTAATCGTTGGCCTCAATTAGCTCACATTGAAATCGCCAATCTAAATGGTAGAAATGACGAAACAAAAATCATTTACTTATCCAAATTAGACAATATAAACAGAAAACTCGTCTACCCAAACATCCAGTATTCAAAACACCTATCCATTAGTTTGTACCTGACAAAACTGCTGAAATTCAGATGCAGACGTATTCATTTCACAAGCATGTTTTTGAAGTTTCTTTCGTTCTTTTGCTTCATATTCAACTTTACTCTGCCACATAGTCCACTTCTCAATTTCCTCTTGCTGAAACAGAGAAAAGTATTTGGAAATAAACCCTGATTTTTGGCTGATAAAATATTATGTTATTAAATTTTAAAGGAGCAAACTACAAATGAATTAAAGAAACTTTGATTGAAAGCTCACAAACTCCATGTCCTTTATCATATGTTTAATATAATGATAAAGAAAAAACAAAACCTTTGTCATAAATACTAATAATGATCAGATTTTACCTGTAATTCCACGAGATTCAGAGAAAATTTCTTTTTTTTCCTATGTAAATCTTCATGCTTATTTTTTTGACATATATCTTCTTTTTCCTTTTCTATCTTCATTTTAAATTTTTTCCAGTTCTCTCTTTCTTCCAACTGTAAAAAAGAGAATGATAATGTAAAGTTACGTTTTAGTTTTCTAAAGTAAACATTTTTTTCATATGATATACGTGATTTTTGCTATTGAAATATTTTCAATCAATTTTATTATAGTCAATACACATTTCTGTGTGAATCTTCAGCAACAACACCAAAAAGTTGACACAGCTAAAGTTTTTTTTTATTATATTAAACACTTCTTGAGAATAATAAAAAAAAATGCAGAATGTGTCCATGGGACACAGATGATGCCCCCGCTTGCATATAACGTTTGGTTGAGGCAAACTAAAGTTAGAGAACGGAAACGAAACATTCAGCATTTTTTCCAATTAATAAAGAGGAATAAGTCAAGAATGGTTTAAGTGACGCAAACCAAATTCAAACTTGATCTGTTTTGTGGTAATAAGCATTGTCTATAAGGTTCAATTCGTATTTCTAAAAACCTTTATTGACAACCCTGAGGGTTATAAAGAGTTGATATTCATAGAGAGATCAATACTTGGATAACTTTTAACCGTTGGGTGCCTAAACAGATAAGCCTAAGTCGTTGCCGAAGGGAATATAATTCGCTTTCAGTTCCATTAGACGTTTAACAAAATACAACTACTTAGTATCCAATACAACAAATAAATGAATTCTTCAATGTGTATGCATATGGTCAACAAATTAAATTAATAAAAGCTTGCAGCAGATTATGCAGTCTGACGATCCTCGAACTTTTCCCGTTGGTCGATAATCGAGGGTCAAGAATTTAGAGATAAGAAAGCTAGTATAAAAAAAACAAACAAAATTATAAATGATAAAACGTCCCCTTACCATCAACCTTTTCCATAAAGATGAAATGTAGCCTCTAAATACGACACTTCTTGGGACTCATTGAAGATCATTGAAGCGAATTCGAATGATAGATTGATTGATCGGTGTTTGCTTTACACCACCTCAGCACAAAAAGAAGCGTAATTGAGAAATGAGGATTAGCACTAGGAATGGATAACAGTTGAAGCTTTACCTGTAACTGTTGAAGTTCTCTCATCAATATCGCATCAGTGAGATTCATAACTTGCCATTGTTGTTCATGTTTAGATGCAATTTTCTCTTCCTCCGCTGTTATCTTCAGTTTTGTCCATTTATTGTATTCATCAAACTAAAAACACGACAAAAAGTGTATTTCAAAGGATTATATGTTTTTGTGGGTTATCAAATCAAGGAAATTGTTCTCTTATCCTGCAAAAATAATGGATGTATCCTAAGGGGGCTAGGATGAAATTTGAAAAGAAGGCAGGACCGGACTTTTGAGTAAAAAAAAAGGCAACTTGGCAAAAAAAAAGGCAGGATGACAATTTATGTAAAAAAAGTCAGGATAAACTAATAAAAAAAAAGGCAGGACCGAATAGAGTGAAAAATAAAAAGGCAGGACAGACATTACAACTAAAAAAAATGCAGGACAAAATTTTTCATCCTACCCCCCCCCCCCCCCCCCCCCCCATAAAAATCAAATGGTAGCTCCCTAAACACTTGCTATTGTGAAAATAAGCATGATATCCTACGTTTCTTATTCCTTTGTTTAACTAATTACAAACAACTGCAAAATGTGCCTAGAATTTATAACTGGAACATAATGTATGATGAAAAAAAAATGAAAACAACACGTTATGCCTTCGAATATAGTACTGTACAAGTGTAATAACGAAAATTAATGGGATTTAGGTAAAATACAGAAAAAGATAATGATGCATATTCTTTCTTACCCATGATACATCATTTCGATCAGGAGTTTTCTGTGGTGAATTGAAAGGACTAGAAAATGATGATCCAATACCACTATCATAAGATGTGTTTTGACGAGGTGAACTGAAAGATGTGCCGCCGTCTGAACGTGATTTGTTTTGACGAGGTGAACTAAAAGTAGATGAGAAAGATGAACTAAAGCCGCTGTCACTGTCGCTTGATCTAAAACTGTTCAACAATCCAGATATCCTGGCAAACTGTGAAAGTTCCCGGTCCAGTCTTGTAGTAGAGTTATTAGTATATGTTCTCGGTGGAAGAAATACTCCTTCCCGTGACACTGGCATGCTACCTTTTAGTAACCCAGCTCTCCCGATTCTTCTGTTATATGCATTGTCAGCATAGTATCCAGGCATATTCTTTTATATCATTCGATCTACAATAGGATTAAAATATAATTTTAAATAAGAAATCTCATTGAAATATACTGTAGTTGGCCTTATGAACCACAATAAACAGTTTAAATTTCCTGGTCTTTACACGATAACTGTACTGTGTTCTTCGTCTTTAAGGTGAAGTGAAAAACATAGTAGTATCAAATGGGTGTAAACAGTCTGAGCACTCACTATTCTATTAGCATTATCCGCTGTCCAAAATTAAAATGTCAGATGAAACAAATTAATTTACATAAAAAATGAACGTTTACACAAGTAATCTTCATTTTAACTTAAAGACATATTGAAAGAATTTCTACAATTTTGTTTCATAAACAAAATAACCAACGCAAATACAAATATCATGTTTTAGAAAGTACCAATCATAAATCGTAAAAAAAACTCTGATGGAACAAAATAGAAACTGAAACTGATATCATCAAGATGCTGGGTTTTTTTAATAACTAAAAGTTTGATGGCTATGCTGACTGCATCTATCTCAATAAGCTTGAAAAAAAAGAACACCAAAGACAAAGTTTATACAAGTCTGCTTTATATAATTATGTGTAGAAATTAACAATTCAGAACTAAACTTTAACACAAAATAGATGATTGCAAAGTCGCTATTGTTAAATTTCCACTTCGTGTAGTAACGTTCCACAAACCGCCTGCATATGGAGTATATGCATGTCTTCTAATTTATACTATGTTTCAGGGCTTGTGTTTTCTTGAGGGTTGGTTATTTCTCAACAGGAAATTATTGCATTAAGGGTTCAAATGGTAAAGTTGAAGTCATTCATTCGAATGTTTTACGGACTATGTTATAAATATATGTGTTGCGAATGACCACCCAAGTGAAAACTAAAATGTCATTCTCTTTTCCTCGATTGTGACATTACAAAATGTGACTTACCAACGTATTGTTATTGCAAACTAAGAGTAACACGATAGGTATCATAAGGGAGGGTCTGGATGGGGTTTACAGAATAGAGAATAATGGGCATAAAGGGCAAAAAATATAAAGAATAGAGAAGAATAAGCCAACAAAATAAATGATAGAGAGTAATTGTCAAAGTTTATAAAGAATAGAGAAAAATGGCTTAAAATTAAAGAATACAGAAATGAAGAACACCCCCCCCCCCCACCATTCCCCCTCATGACCTTCAAGAGTGTAGCAGAAACCTTTCCTAATGACTTGAGTTCATCTCCGATTGTAGTGTGTTCGTGTAACTCAATCTTAGGTTTTCTGTGTAGTGTTTTGTTATAGTTGTTTGTCTTTTCGTCCTATTTCTTGTTGTCTATTTTATTTAGTATCTTCTCTATGTTTTTACACATTTCTAATTCTGCATCGAGCATCGAATAGTTACTACAAAAAAGTAAAATAACAAAAAAACCGAACCCCAAGGAAAATTCAAATCGGATAGTCCCTTATCAAATGGCCAAATTCAAAGTCTCAAACACATCAAACGAATGGAAAAAAACTGTCATATTCCTGACTTGGTACAGGCATTTCCTTATGTAGAAAATGGTGGATTAAACCTGGTTTTATAGCTAGCTAAACCTCTCATTTGTATGACAGTCGCATAAAATTCCATTATATTGACAACAATGTGTGAACGGGCGCATTACGTTTGCGCGCATTTGAGGATTAAATTTGTTTACGTTTGCACGCAGCTTTTGATTACCAAAAATTGACTCAGCAGTAAAGGTTAATAATTCACAAAGACAAATTAAAGAACACTATAACACGAATTAAGATGATACACAACGTCAGTACCTAGAATCTACACTTCAAGTCAATCGTGTATGATTTGTGAAGTTGATACGGAATATTTATCATAAAGGTCTTGGTATCTTTCGATGATTTTTTTTTTTAGAAAAAGGACGAGACGTTCTTTGACATAACCCTGGTTCATCAACTTACTGCTAAGACACTGGTGACATTTTATAAAGTCTGCATGGGTAGCAGCTGTAAGGTCTTGAATACCGAATGAGTTGAGAAATGTATATCCCATATGCAGGTGGAGTTCGTATATTGCTACTAAGGTGGGGAAATTGATAATTTCAAAGCTAAAATCGTCTCGTTTGTCATAGATTCTGGTACTGAGGTGACCGCTTATGTCAAATTCAAGGTATAAGTCTAAAAATGAGGCGGAGGAAGCCGTGTCTGTTGTTTCTTTAATTTCTAGTTCTGGAGGATATATTAATGGAACCCGATCAGAAAAGTTAGGATTGTTAATCGGAAGAACATCATCAATATATCTGAATATGAAATTAAATGATCTGGCTTCTTTGATCTTCTTGTTTTTTGACAAGTGTCTGAAGAAACTCCGACTTATATGAAAATAAGAAGAGGTCGACAAGGAGAGGCGCACAGTTCGTTCCCAGAGGAATGCCGACAATTTGTTGAAAAAGCCTACCTCCAAATTCAACAAATATATTGACAATGAGAAACTCCAGTATACTGATCACTTGTTCCTCTGTATAGCATGTTTTACCTTTTTGTTCACTATTAACAAAATATGCCGTATGGTATCTCGAAGTAATAAATGTATATTTAGTGTACGCTATCATTTTTATATTGAAAAGCATTGTGGATTATTTCTTTAAAACGTTTTTTCAATTTCACATGGGGAATGGTGGTATACAGGGTTGAAAATCCAAAAGTTTTGATAAAATTAATTTCAGAGAAAGATCGAGATTTAAAATTATCCAGAAGTTCTTTAGAGTTTTTTAGTGCTCTGTCGTCAACAATAAATTTAAAATCAAAGGTAGTAAATTTTAAGTACCAACATGGCATGAACGATTCGAAAATCTTGATCACAGAGCTTATGGTCTTCAAACTGTATAATAAATCCATTATTCTTTTTTAAATTTCATAAACCAAATGATTTACAAAAAACATCTTAATATAATTGTGACCAAAGATAATTCTTTATGAATTTGGTGCGTCCGAACCTGTATTCTGGTTTTAAGTTCAATAATAACGCTCAAATCCAAAAGATTAAAATCAATAAATGTATAAGTACAAGTTTAATGCGTGATGAGCTATATGGGACCTTTAAAGAATTGAAACAGAAATTACTAGTAAACTGTGGATAATGTTCTTTCAGAATTCAGGAAGCTTATTATCAGTTAGAAAATGTATATGCGATGTTCTGATATATGGCAATGTATACATCTTAAATCGGAGTCATCTAACATGTCTGGATGCCAGATGACTTACTTTTAAAAAGCCCGATTGTCATTCTCAGCATCATATGAACTATTTGAGTCAAATGGTCGAGATGAACAATTTTATAAATCCAGAAAGGGTGGCTCTGTTTTCAGAATATTCGATCGGATGTATTTTTGATTGTGTAGATACTTTATCAAAGAAATAATTTCCTTTTAAAACTGTAAGTGACTTTGTAACAATACTCCAATTTATAAGACGCGTCCGGGTCTGCATACTTAATTTAGCTATTGTTTATTTACAAACTGTTAGAATGAAATGTACCCATAATGCATTGTATTGTTATTAAATATGTAGTTCAACGTACTGTGTTTATATCACTCGAAGCCAAACTTGAAACATGGTGTCAGATGTACAGACGATACAATGAAAATTTTAGAAGAAATATAAAGATTCCGTCATTTGGAAACAGGGAAGTAACCAAGAAAGCAAAACACTATCCCTAAAACATAGAAATAAGCAACAAATCCAAGTCCCGCTCAAAACCACGTGCGTTTTCTGGGAACAATGGATAAGCTACGGGCACCCGATCAATTTAATGTTGAAGCTCGAAACCTCGCTGATGCGTGGAAAAGATGGAAAGAAGAAGTTGAACTTTACATCGATTTGACAATGGACTCAGAAGATGAGAAAGCTAAAGTAAAAATGTTTCTTTATCTGGTAGGCACCCAAGGGAGAGAAGTGTACGAAACATTGACATTTGAACGTCCACCGAATGAAAGAACATTTCTACAGGTTCTAGAAGCATTTGAGAACCACTGCAATCCCAAGAAAAATGAAACAGTTGAAAGATACATGTTCAATATGAGAAATCAACGTCAAGATGAAACATTCGACAAATACATCACAGAACTAAAACTGCTTGCATCCACATGTAATTATGGGGCACTGAATGACTCCCTGGTACGTGATCGTATTGTTTGCGGCATAAGCAACTCAAGTCTGAGGGAACGCTTACTACGCACGCTAGATCTTACACTTGATAAAACCATGCAATTGGGAAGAGCTGCTGAGCTTACTAAAGAAAGAATCAAAACTATAGAAAACCCTACAGCTGCCTCCAACACTGAAGTAAATGCTGTAAGACATAAGACAAAACCAAACACAAAATTCAAACAGAAACAAGGCACTTATGTCAAACATGAAAAGCAACAATACCGAAGTAATAGCAACTGCAAATATTGTGGAAAATGACATGAACATTGTAGATCCAGCTGTCCAGCGTATGGTCAAACTTGTCGTAAATGTGGCAAAACAAACCACTTTGAAGCAGTGTGCCAATCAGGCAAGATAACAAAAATAAGAAGACCACAGCAAGTTCGTACTCTGTCAGATAATTATGCGTCAGAAGATTACGACAGTGATGAATTTTTTGAAATCAAAGCAGTAACCCTTGTACCGATCAACACTGTAGATGGTAAAAATAGCCGTCATGTGTACGCAACAATGAACATTGTAAGTAACAAAATCATGCCAGTCAGATTTCAATTAGACAGTGGTGCAACATGTAACATTATAAATAGCAATGCACTGAAAGAATTAGGAATTAAAGAACTAAAGAAAACAAGCCAAGTCCTTAAAATGTACAATAACACTACAATAAAACCACTTGGTACTTGCCAGCTGAAACTAATCAATCCTAAGAATGATGCTAAATTCAAAGCTGAATTTATTGTTGTGAAAGATAAAACACTCACTCCATTACTTGGTAACAAAACAGTTCAAGCTATGAACTTAATGACAATACACTATGAAAACATTAAAAGTGTACAGCAAGGAGCACCAATGTCACCGGATTCATATAAGCCAATTGATAAAGCAAATATTCTGAAAGAATACGAAGATGTCTTTGAAGGTACAGGTTTACTTGAAGGAAAATATCATCTGGAGTTGAACGAAAATGCTCAACCAGTAGTACACCCACCAAGGAAGGTACCTGTTGCAATAAAGGACCAACTGCAAACTGAGCTAAACAGACTTTGTGATGTGAACATTATTACACAAGTCACTAAACCAACGCCATGGGTTTCAAGCTTAGTAACCGTGGTAAAGCCGAATAAGCTACGAGTTTGTATTGACCCTAAACACCTCAACCAACACATCAAACGAAGTCATTACCCACTACATACAATTGATGATCTGCTACCTGAGCTTTCGAATGCGAAAATTTTCAGTGTTGTTGATGCAAAGAATGGATTCTGGCACGTCCAGTTAGATGAAGAGTCATCATATCTGACTACATTTAATACACCATTTGGACGTTACCGTTGGTTAAGAATGCCTTTTGGTATTACCTCAGCGCCAGAAGAATATCAGCGCAGACAAGATCAGGCAGTAGAAGGTCTACCTGGAGTCCAAAGCATAATTGATGACATATTGATTTATGGTGAAGGGAAAACAGAAGAAGAAGCTATTAAAGACCATGACAGAAAATTCCGATTGCTAATGGAAAGATGCAGGGAAAGAAATCTTAAATTGAATAAAGACAAACTCAAATTGAAGATGAAAGAAGTAAAATTTATTGGTCACTTGATTACCAATAAAGGTCTGAAAATGGATCCAGAAAAAGTACGCGCAGTACTAGAAATGCCTAAGCCCACTGATGTTTCAGGAGTTCGGAGATTGGTAGGATTTGTAACATACTTGAGCAAATTTCTACCCAAGCTAAGCCATATTTGTGAACCACTCCGAAAATTGACACTTAAAGATTCAGAATTCTGCTGGTTAGATAATCATGACAAAGCTTTAAATGAGATAAAGACACTAGTAACCAGTGAACCTGTTCTGAAATACTATGATCCAAACATGGAGCTTACACTACAAAGCGATGCATCTGAAACAGGTCTTGGAGCAGCAATATTGCAGGAAAATCAACCGATAGCGTATGCTAGTCGTGCACTCACTGACACAGAGACTCGATATGCACAAATTGAGAAAGAACTTTTATCTGTAGTTTTTGGCCTACAAAAATTCCACCAATATACATATGGCAGAAATGTGTATGTAACATCAGATCACAAACCATTAGAGTCAATTTTGAAGAAGCCTCTACATTGTGCACCAAAGAGACTACAAAGAATGATGTTACAACTACAGAAATACAATATACAGCTAGTATACAAACCAGGAAAAGAGATGTATCTCGCAGATACACTAAGCAGGGCATATCTCAAGGATAAGCAAACCGAGTCAGGAAGTGAAGAAATAGAAGCAATAAACATGATAAAAGATCTTGCAATATCAGAAGAAAGGCTCAAAGAAATCCAACAACACACAGAAACTGACACACAACTACAAAAGCTCAAACACGTTATACAATCAGGATGGCCAGACATAAAATCTGATGTGTCACATGAGATAAATATATACTTCGACATCCGAGATGAACTCACTGTTCAAAATGGACTAATTTTCAAAGGTGAAAGAGTAATAATACCAAAGTCCTTAAGATCCGATATGATCCGCAGAATACACTCTTCTCACATTGGAGTTGAAGGATGCTTAAGAAGAGCGCGCGAAAGCCTCTACTGGCCAGGCTTGAATTCAGAAGTGAAAGATTTCATTTTAAGATGTGAAACATGCCGCACGTATGAACGGAAACAGAGGAAAGAACCATTAATTTCACATGAAGTCCCTTTAAGACCATGGGCAAAAGTCGGTATTGACTTAATGACATTTGAAACACGAAATTACCTGATAACTGTAGACTATAATCTCAAATTTCTGGGAGATCGACTACCTAGAAAACACTCTAGCAACAACAGTCATTCATAAATTACGAGCACAGTTTGCTAGATATGGCATACCCGACACTTGTTTTTCTGACAATGGACCTCAGTTTAACTGTGTTGAATTCAGGAATTTTGCCAAAGAATGGGATTTTAGTCATGAAACATCATCACCCTATTATCCACAAAGTAATGGGAAAGTAGAACATGCTGTCCAAACCGCCAAATCGTTAATGAGGAAAGGAAAACATGCACAATCAGATCCTTATTTAGCCATACTAGACTTTCGAAATACACCAACTCAAGGATTCGAAACTAGTCCCGCTCAACGACTGATGAACAGAAGAACAAAAACACTAATACCCACAAAAGAAAGTTTACTTAAACCGAAAATAGAAGGACAGAATGTACAAAAGGAAATTCAATACTCTAAAGAAAGACAAGCTCATTATTACAATCAAGGAGCAAAGGAACTATCATCTTTAAAAGAAGGAGACGTTGTGAGAGTGGAACCAGCAAACAAATATCAAAAGACATGGGAGAAAGGAACAGTTAATCAGAAAGTAAACGAACGATCATATGAAATCAACATTAAAGGAAAAACATTCAGAAGAAATAGGAGACAATTGCATAAAACGAGCGAAAACAACAAAACATGTGAAAAGGAACAATTCAATTCAGAATCAAATGAATTCGAGGACGATGAACAATTTGATCATGTGGAACAACAAGAGAATTGCAACAATAACACTATTCCGCAACAAAGTCCGCAACAAAACACATTGGACAATAACACAACTACAAGGACAAGATCAGGAAGACAAATCAAAAGACCATCAAAATTCAATGATTTTGTGAGTTAGTCGACAGAACAATTGTGTTTCCGTGGGGCACAATAATCCCCTGGTGTTCTCCTAATGGTTCCGTTGTAAATTTTACATAGTAGTAGTTGAGAACACACTGTGTGGTTGGGGCAGAATAATCCCCGTGTGTTTCTCTCAGAGAATCATTTAGATTCTGTCTAGTGCATAATTAGTTTAGTTTTATTAAATGCTATTTTTGAGTGTGTGCGCAATATTTACATGCACAGTATTACAAACTTTAGCCGAAACAGTATTAAAACTTTTGCAGACTTTAAAATATTGAACAGTAACTTTTCAGTATTAATTGATATTATCATTTACAATGTATGTTTTTTTATTATGCAAGTTATGCATTTTTAATTCACTAGTCAAAGTTCAGTATTTCTAGTCAAGTGAAAATTTGAAGTTCAATTTAATTTTTATTTAAAGAAGAAAGGATGTAACAATACTCCAATTTATAAGACGCGTCCGGGTCTGCATACTTAATTTAGCTATTGTTTATTTACAAACTGTTAGAATGGAATGTACCCATAATGCATTGTATTGTTATTAAATATGTAGTTCAACGTACTGTGTTTATATCACTCGAAGCCAAACTTGAAACAGACTTGACTCATGAAGTTGTGAAAAAGCTAATTAACACAGATAAATATGATAACATAAATGATAACATTCCAACAAATCTATGTTTTGAAATCCAAGTTTGAGCGCGTTCAAATACGATTTTTAAAAGGCAAAATAGTCAAAACGTAAAATTATGTTGAACCCCATTAACTGTAAATGTATAGTTAATGTATTGTAAATTGTAATGATTGATTTAGTCATTGATTGATTGTTGTCTGCTTAATATCCAGTGGATTAAGCGTCTTTAAGTCCTTGTTTATTCTCTCTTATTTTTCTTCTGGTTACATGGTCCATTAAAATAAGATGGCAGTAACAGAAATAGTGAACAATCGGATCACATAAGAAGGGCCTGATGGGTTATTTTCGTTCTTCGTGATCAGCGCATTTTCGCTATCGTGATCCGTTTTTTCTACAGATTTTTTTTTTTTTTTTATATTTTCATGATCCGTGATCATGGAAATTTATTTTCTGTGAATCGTGATTGACAAAAAAATCAACTCGTGAATCGTGATGAGACCCCCCCCCCCCCCCCCCCCCCCCATCAGGCCCCTCACATAAGTGAGACCTAATGAACAAATTGTTTGTGAACTAAATTTAAGACAAGGTCAATGAATTTAAAAAACCAATGTTGATGCAGAAATTTGGAATAGATCAATTTTTAAAAAAAAATTTGTTACAATGAATAAGATCAGTGTATACTAAATAAGTTCACGTGTGTATTTGGAACCTCTGACACTTCACAACACTTGTATTTACAATGAAATATACGAACAAACAATTCCTGTCACTTCTTGTTTACATCTATAAAAAAGGGAATAATCATGTTATCAAATGATACAATAAAATAAAGTATAAACACGTCAGGTAAAAAGCGTAATTTCTCGATTTAATATTTTCTAAATGTGAAAAAAATCAAATGTAAAACACTAAAAATGTCGTCCTTTAAAACAACGTATGTTAAATTACCTGCTAGCTCGATATCCATTACTTCCTTCGTTCTATTTATATAATGAAAATGGCATGTTTTGACGTCACTTTCTCATTTTCAGAAAATCATTTAAAGTCATAAATCCTTTGTAAATATGACTTTAAATTAATCTTTATCAGATTGCACTTCAAGCGAAAGTATCTAAAAGAATTATGTATTTACATGTATTATCAAACAATGTTATTATATATTGTTTGAATGTTGAAAACGGTTTCGTTTCATTTTCAAGTTAAATTTAAATGATGATTTTGGATTGATTTAAAAAATAAAGTTCAAAGTTTAATTATTTCATGTAATTCGATCAAGATTCTTTCTGGACTAGATCTCATTTAGTGAATAATAAAATTGAGAATGGAAATGGGGAATGTGTCAAAGAGACAACAACCCGACCATAGAGCAGACAACAGCCGAAGGCCACCAATGGGTCTCCAATGCAGCGAGAAACTCCCGCACCCGGAGGCGTCCTTCAGCTGGCCCCTAAACAAATATGTATACTAGTTCAGTGATAATGGACGTCATACTAAACTCCAAATAATACACAAGAAACTAAAATTAAAAATGATACAAGACTAACAAAGGCCAGAGGCTCCTGACTTGGGACAGGCGCAAAAATGCGGCGGGGTTAAACATGTTTTTTGAGATCTCAACCCTCCCCCTATACCTCTTGCCAATGTAGAAAAAACAAACGTACAACAGTACGCACAGTAAAACTCAGTTTAAGAGAAGTTCGAGTCCGATGTCAGAATAGGAAACAAAGGAAAATAAAGAAAATGACAATAATACATGAATAACAACAGACTACTAGCAGTTACTGACATGCCAGCTCCAGACCTCAATTAAACTGATTGAAAGATTATGTCTTCATCATATGAATATCAGGCACAATCCCTCCTGTTAGGGGTATAGTATTATACCATCATAAAATATATGAGAAGAACATAACCCGTGTCATGCCAACAACTAGTTTTAGAATAAATATGTTTAATTCCGATGCAAAGACCCTATAAGTGAATCAATATTAAAGCCAAAATATGCAATCTTTAATGACCTGACAACAGTATCGTAACTATATCCCTTCTTAATAATTAAGTCTGTTTAAAGGATTTGTTAGCTTTTGAGGTGAATACTAACATTTTTTAGCTTTGTAAAGAATATTACCATAAAAGATTGGATGTGAAATATCCGAACGTATAAGATATAGATATAGGAAGATGTGGTATGAGTGCCAATGAGACAACTCTCCATCCAAGTTACAATTTATAAAAGTAAACCATTATAGGTCAAGGTGCGGCCTTCAACACGGAGCATTGGCTCACACCGAACAGCAAGCTATAAAGGGCCCCAAAAAATTACTAGTGTAAAACCATTCAAACGGAAAAACCAACGGTCTAATCTATATAAAAACGAGAAACGAGAAACACGTATGAACTACATAAACAGACGACAACTACTGTAATCAGATTCCTGACTTAGGACAGGTGCAAACATTTGCAGCAGGATTAAACGTTTAAATGGTACCAAACCTTCTCCCTTTTCTGAAACAATAGTATAACATCACAACATAGAATAACACACTATAAAATATCAATTGGAAGGCTTAACTCAATCAAAAAACGTAAATTAACACACAATGAACGAATAAATTTGACCTGTGACACCTGAATGCAAATACACAGTTAATAAAAAATTACAAGGGATAAATAATTAAAGTCAAAAGTAAATAAACAGGTTTAAACAAAGTTAGAGTATGTTATCACTGTGAAATTTCAAACAATTTATAGAAAATCATCACTTTTGAAGAAACCTGCGTCATATTATACACAGGTAAATGAAAATAATTTTGTTGTTAAGTATACTTCTTCTTCTGTGTGTATAAAATCTTCCGTTTAGGAATACCAAGAAATTTCTTTAATATCAATAAAACTAATATAACACTTGGTACATATGGGGTGAATATCAACAATAAAAATATACAATTAGTGCTAGATAAAACTTCCTGTACAGGTCCAAGAATAGCATCTAAGGAAAAATGAAATAATTTTGATGTTCATAGTACGAAGAAGTGAAAATTTGTAGTAATTAAATACCAAATAATCAAAGCTGGTATATAGACAAGATCCATGTTAACATTAAATAACAAAAAAGCATTACAAATAGTATCAACAGGTCAAATTAAAAAGAAAGTACGATTTGAGAGTACTCGCAGTTACTGACAGCTAGTTCAAAGCCAAAACAATTAATAATAAAAAATCATGCATCAGAGACTAAAATCAACTAAAATACATCCCAGGGATTTAGTATTTTAACGTCATGAACAGTCAAAGAAGACATGACTTGTGCAATGCCAAAAATAAATGTATCGACAGGTAGTAGGATAGTTAGGAGTGACTTCTTTATAGATAAAATGTCTGCATGTTGAGTTATATTTACGAATGATGTCCTTATACCGATGATAAAATTTAGTAAATGTTTTGACTAGTTTATGATATCGAAAACCCTGGTGTAATAATTTTTCAGTAATACATAAATTTCTCTCGATAAAATCTAATACGTTGTTACATACACGAGCGAATCGTACAAGTTGAGATATATAAACACCATAAGATGGTGACAAGGGAACGTCACCATCTAAAAATGGATAATTAACGATAGGAAATGTAAAATCATCTCTTTTATCATATATTTTAGTATTAAACTTTCCATTAATGATATAGATATCAAGATCGAGGAAAGGACAGTGGTCATTGTTAGTATTAGCTTTATTTAAAGTAAGTTCAACAGGATACATTTCTTTAGTATACATACAACAAACTGACAATGCCAAGACAAAAAACTAAAAAAACAATCAAAAGACAAACAACAGTATACAAAACACAACATAGAAGACCAAAGACTGAGCAAACGAACCCCAACAAAAATCCGGGGTAATCTCATGTGTTAGAAAAATTGGCACTACATTTTATATTGGTAAAAATGAAATATTTGTATTTGTTTACTTTTAAATTTGCAATTTCACAGGACGGGAGAGGTCACATACCCTCTACGTCCACTTTGGTGATTCTGAAACAAGAAGTCTTATAGTCTTACTTTTGGAGTGTCAAGAACTCGTTGGAAGTACTTGATAAATTACATGCATATATTGGTGATTTTGAATCTGTTCAAAGTTTTGATTTTTCTACCCTATATACCACATTGCCTCACATTCTCATTAAGAAAAAAATTACACACCTAATTAAATGGGCATTTAAAAAGTCAGAATGTGAATATATATGTTCAAACTCTTTTAGGTCATTTTTTAGTAGCAATAAACAAAAAAACTATGTCAATTGGACATGCTTTGATACTATATATGCCCTTGAATTTTTACTAGATAACATTTTTGTTCGCTTTGGAGATTCCGTATATCGTCAGGTTATCGGAATTCCAATGGGGACTAACTGTGCACCACTTATTGCGGACCTTTTTTTATATTGCTATGAGTTACAATTTATGACAAAAATCAGCAAAGACCCATCGAAACAACATCTGATACACAAATTTAATAATACTTTTAGATATTTGGATGATATTTTAGCTCTCAATAATGACGACTTCAGTATGTATACTAAAGAAATTTATCCTGTTGAACTTACTTTAAATAAAGCTAATACTAACAATGACCACTGCCCTTTCCTCGATCTTGATATCTATATCATTAATGGAAAGTTTAATACTAAAATATATGATAAAAGAGATGATTTTACATTTCCTATCGTTAATTATCCATTTTTAGATGGTGACGTTCCCTTGTCACCATCTTACGGTGTTTATATATCTCAACGTGTACGGTTCGCTCGTGTATGTAACAATGTTTTAGATTTTAACGAGAGAAATTTATGTATTACTGAAAAATTATTACACCAGGGTTTTCGATATCACAAACTAGTCAAAACATTTACTAAATTTTATCATCGGTATAAGGACATCATTCGTAAATATAGCTCAACATGCAAACTTCTTATACGTTCAGGTATTTCACATCCAATTTTTTATGGAAATATTCTTTATAAAGCACAAAAATGTCAGTATTCACCTCTGAAGCTAACAAAACCTTTAAATAGACTTATTAAGAAGGGATATAGTTACGATACTGTTGTCAGGTCATTAAAGATTGCATATTTTGGCGTTAATATTGATTCACTTATAGGGTCTTTACATCGGCACTAAACACATTTATTTAAAAACCAGTTGTTGGCATGACACGGGTTATGTTCTTCTCATATATGTTATGATGGTATGATACTAAACCCCTAACGGGAAGGATTGTGCCTGATATTCATATGATGAAGACATAATCTTTCAATCAGTTTAATTGAAGTCTGGAGCTGGCATGTCAGTTAACTGCTAGTAGTCTGTTGTTATTTATGTATTATTGTCATTTTGTTTATTTTCTTTGGTTACATCTTCTGACATCAGACTCGGACTTCTCTTGAACTGAATTTTAAAGTGCGTATTGTTATGCGTTTACTTTTCTACATTGGCATAGGTATAGGGGGAGGGTTGAGATCTCATAAACATGTTTAACCCCGCCGCATTTTTGCGCCTGTCCCAAGTCAGGAGCCTCTAGCCTTTGTTAGTCTTGTATTATTTTTAATTTTAGTTTCTTGTGTACAATTTGGAGTTCAGTGTGGCGTTCATTATCACTGGGGTAGTATATATATTTGTTTAGGGGCCAGCTGAAGGACGCCTCCGGGTGCGGGAATTTCTCGCTGCGTTGAAGACCTGTTGGTGACCTTCTGCTGTTGTCTGTTTTATGGTCGGGTTGTTGTCTCTTTGACACATTCCCCATTTCCATTCTCAATTTTACTATAAACACCAAAAAATGATTAATTATATTTATCCATAAGTATCCAATAATTTCTCAACAATACATATAAGGATTTAATTTACCACTGGACTAAAGTAAAACATTATGGTTCAATACACGGGGTATTTAGTTTGGATATATAGAAGTTGGTTATTGTTTTCTATATAGAAGCTGGTCATTGTTCACTATATAGAAGCTGCTCATTGTTCACATAAAGAAGCTGGTCATTGTTCACTATATGAAAGCTGGTCATTATTCACATATAGATGTTGGTCATTGTTCACTATATAGAAGTTGATTATTGTTCACTATATAGAAGCTGGTCATTGTTCACTATATAGAATCTGGTCATTGTTCATTATATGAAAGCTGGTCATTGTTCACATATAGAAGTTGGTTATTGTTTTCTATATAGAAACTGGTTATTGTTCACTATATAGAAGTTGGTTATTGTTCACTATATAGAAGCTGGTCATTGTTCACTATATGAAAGCTGGTCATTGTTCACATATAGAAGTTGGTTATTGTTCACTATATAGAAGACGATCATTGTTCCCTATACAGAAGTTGGTTATTGTTCACTATATAGAAGATGATTATTGTTCCCTATACAGAAGTTGGTTATTGTTTTCTATATAGAAACTTGTTATTGTTCACTATATAGAAGATGATCATTGTTCCCTATACAGAAGTTGATTATTGTTCACTATATGGAAGATGATCATTGTTCCCTATACAGAAGTTGGTTATTGTTCACTATATAGAAGATGATCATTGTTCCCTATACAGAAGTTGGTTATTGTTTTCTATATAGAAACTGGTTATTGTTCACTATATATAAACTGGTTATTATTCACTATATAGAAGCTGGTCATTGTTCACTATATGAAAGCTGGTCATTGTTCACATATAGAAGTTGGTTATTGTTTTCTATATAGAAGCTGGTCCTTGTTCACTATATAAAAGTTGGTTATTGTTCACTATATAGAAGCTGGTCATTGTTCACTATATAGAAGCTGGTCGTTGTTCACTTTATAGAAGCTGGTCATCGTTCACTATATAGAAGTTGGATATTGTTTTCTATATGGAAACTTGCCTACTTGTTTACTATATATAAATATCTTTAATTTCCACTTTATTTGAACTTTTGTGGATAGTTGTCTCATTGGCAATCATCCCTCATCTCCTTATTTTTATATTGTTATTGTTTACTATATATAAGCTGGTCATTGTTCACATATATAAGTTGGCTATTGTTTTCTATATAGAAGCTGGTCATGATTGTTCACTATACATGAATATCTTTAAAATCATATTGAATGAATTCAGTGCCATTTTAAGATGAGGAGTCTTTTTTTTATATTTTGTGGACTAACCAAGGAGTATTCCTTATATGATTATACTTTGATAACCTAATAAGTCACGTGAGATCATCGAGATACGCAAAGTAATTATAAGTTTATTTTTTTTCGGTAGTAAGTCTGTCACTCTGCGGGTATTTTTTCAAAGCAAAATTGTGTTCACTAATATAATTTATTCTCATTCTAATTAAAATCGGACAATTCAATTTTGTAAAGCCACCACAGTTATTATAATATAATTCAACAGTTAAGAAGAAACAATACAGTCCAAATAACATGTTTTGTTATCAGAAACAAAATTTTGTTTTAACATTTTATCATTGGTGTTTGTGCCTTTTAAAAAAGTCGTGTGTATTCACAAAGTTTAACCTTTTACTTGTAGATTAAAACGAACGAGTATCGTGGATTCCAGTAAGGATGTCATGAGCAACACTATTTCGAAAAATATAATAAAAACGCTGTTGTGTATTTATAAAAAATAAGGAGATGAGGTATGGTATGATTGCCAATGAGACAACTATCCGCCGCCCAGAGTTCAAATGACGAAGACATAAGCAATTATTGGTCACCGTACAGCCTTCAACAATGAGAAAAACCCATACTGTATAGTCAGCTATATAAGGCTACGACATGAAAGATGGGAAACAACTCACACGAGAAAACTAATGCCAAAATTTTTAACAATGCAATTTACGAACAACAAATATGACGGACACGAACCCAAGACAATGTGCTTTTTCTTATTTGTTCATACACTTGTCTTTTTGCTTTCGTATACACTCGATTGAGACTAAGTCGTGTATGGGTAACATAATTCATTTGTACTCTGGTGGTTAGGTGTCTCATTGGCAATCATACCACATCTCCTTATCTTTATAACAATGAAATTACCAAAATCATCTTTACTTTGAATAATAACAATTTCGAAATCCCCTTTGTTGTTTAGAACTTTTGAATCGTCGCTCAATTTAACTGAGTCCATGAGTTGACCAGTGACAGTTTGAATTAATGTCATAAAAGCGCTTGTTTTCCTTATCTTTCTTGTCAAAGTTATTTCTTGTGAAACAAACTTCTCTTCCATGGAAATCAAGTGGAGAAAGTTTGATATATATCTTTTTTTGCATTTTTTGCCGAAAAATTTCCAGATGATGTAAAAAAAGAATAGAACAGTGTTTAATTTGTTTGTTTCTCTGTATAGAAATGTATTCAAATATCATGCACTATGTTCAAGTTTTATACATGTATCTTAAATGGTGCTTTCAATCCGTTTTGTGGTTTCTAAAGCAACAAAGTCATTAGTGCTCCTTGGAGATCTTGATTTTCGCATCAGAATAGCTTCTCTATCGTACCGATCAAAATATAAAGTTAGTGTGCAACACGCTATACCAGTTAAAGGTCGGCTGATGTTGCTAACTGATGTCCATATCATGGTATCAAGATCTAGGCTTTCTACAGATGTCAATCTTTCTCCATTGTTCCAGTTATAGCCACCAGCGACGTATATGACGTCTTCTAACATGCAGCATCCGAATTCAGCACGAGGTGTTAACATGTTGCAGACGAACTTCCACGTGTCGGCTGTTGGTGAGTATTTCTCCACTGCTTCGACACAGGAAATGGTACCTTCAGAATTTATAGTTGCACCACCAATGACCAATAGGGAACCTTTAACTTGAACCAACTGGGAGAAGAATCTTGGTATAGTCAAAGGTTTCCTTGTTTGCCATTTGTTTTCTGCAGGATGATACCGTTACCATCTTATCTCCTACAACAATATAATATGCATAGAAAACAGACTTGTATTGTGAGAAGACATCATTTATTTACCTATTTCTTCTTTTGCTTAATACACAATTTAGATGGGTTCCTTATATAGTAACCAATAGTCATAGAATTTGAGGTTTGATGTGTTCCTTATATAGTAACCAATAGTCATAGAATTTGAGGTTTGATGTGTTCCTTATAAAGTAACCAATAGTCATAGAATTTGAGGTTTGATGGGTTCCTTATATAGGAACCAATAGTCATAGAATTTGAGAGTTGATGTGTTCCTTATATAGTAAATAATAGTCATAGAATTTGAGGTTTGATGTGTTCCTTATATAGTAACCAGTAGTCATAGAATTTAAGGTGTGTTTGCCATGGCATTGTCTTGTTATTTTTCGTTTCGTGTTTTTTTTATCCACCCGGTATCTTCTTCCCTTTTTCGAAATGCTACACAGTTATAAGATCTTATAATGATTACACACAAATTTGTCTCGCAGACAAATGCCACTTGAAAAATATGATTGATTGGATTATGTACTATTGTTTAAATAAGTTCATGAACTCTAGTGTATACCGTATAACGATATGAGATAATGTTTATGTGTGATTACCATCAATGAACAGGATAGAAAGATTGATTGTTATAATTTGAGTAAAGTGATACAAACCTGAGCCACCCACAACATAAATACGCCCATTTAAAACTGCAGCAGCTACACATCTTTTAGGACTACAAAGAGGGGCCACTTCTTCCCATTTATCTGTGTTTGGATTGTATCTTTCTACTATATCAAGAGATTCGTTCTTGTTCATCCTTCCACCTGAAAAACATGGCATATCTAAAGTGAATACCTCTTGATATTTTTTTTTTAAATCAAGGATTCAATTCCATAAGGCAGCATTGCTATGAGACTGATTTCTGGTGTTTAAATCTGGTCTTTTTTGTGTTCCCTACTTTTTTTGCTTTTTTAATTATTATTTATTCGACCTTCCAACGTATTGTTTTGAAAATGGTCAATCCAAAAAAAAAGGTTGAAGCAGTGAATTAAGTATAATTCTTTTCAATATAAATTTGGTAAAATTCTTTTTGGAACATAAGACATAATTCAGCTTTTTAAGACTTTTTCAAGAGTATTTCGATATACATTTATGTTCTATATGTTAAAGATAATGAAAGCCCTGAGGACTAAACGTCTGTAAAGCAACCCCTACATTGAGATTACCAATTCAATGCACCGGACGTAGAAGATTGTAGCATGAAGCTGGTGTTAACCGGTTATCCAAATATAGGAATTTATAAGCCATACCTGCATCAAATTTCCAAAAAAAAATTGACAAATGTAAAAAGAATTTTAATTCAGATGATAAAATAAGTTTTTGATTCATAATGAATGTCTATTTACCTATAGCATAAAGCATTCCGTTAAGTGCCACCAGCTGGAAACTTTGTCGTTTGTATTTCATACTGGCAACAGCAAGCCATGTGTTAGTTCGAGGATCATATCTGTAAACAGTATTTTCTGGAGATTTGTGATTATTCGTTCGTTCTCCGCCAGCAACATACAAAAAGCCACCCAGTACAGCAACTACACACAAAAAAATACTGAATTACACTTACAGTCGTCATATTCATTCAGTTGGAGCATACATTGATTTTTTTAAACTTCCGATACAAGAGAAATCCGTTAGTTCGTTATAAAAAATCATGATATACAGTTATGGAACTTTTACTCGTAGAAATTAGCCGGCTCTTAAATGGAATTCATGATATACATATAAGTAATAGTTAACCGTGACCTTGGATTTCCTGGTATCTATGATGAAGTTACTTCCATCACTGCATGAAAATAATTTCAACCATGAATTTGATTAACTGATTTTAAGTAACAATGGTGTTTCAATCTAAATAAATTCCCATCGTACAATTTGACTATGGGTCAATTTTGTTTACTAAAAACCCTGTTTAATCCTAGAAACAGTAAAGTCGCAAAATAGGGACAAATTGCCCACCCACTTTCAAAGGAAAGAGCCCAAACCATAATTTTGTTTTAATCAAATCGATACGCACAGAGTTGTGCCTGACAAACGAAAGTGTATATTATCAAGAAGTAGGATTGGACTGAACAATTTGTTGACTGACGTGTGTACAATTTCATAGAAAGGCTTTATAATTTAAGGTAAACTGTTATTGAAATCTGCCATTCACACCAAATCAACACTAAATGCCTGCTAGCACACACGTAGATTCCAAGTATTATCGCGAAGAAACACAGAACTGAATTCGCACATACAACAATAAGGTGTCATACCAGCATGATGGTGTCGCTCTCCTGGTATGGTACTGACTGTCTCCCAACGCTCCTCAACGAAACTGTATCTGTAGATGTCATCACTGACCGATTCTCTCATTAATCTCGGAGCTCCACCAGAAATCAGTAAGCATGGTTGGTGAACAGGTTTACGTGGCAAAGTACGTGATGACTGAAAGATTGATTTTAAATAAAGTTCTTTGTTTTAAAGACGACTGGCGATAGCTAATTGCTATATGTGTTAGTCTCCGCAACATTGATTAATTTTACATTTATAGCTAAAAATAATGTAAAGATTCAAATATAATATAAATTTTATTACGTTATAACATAAAGATGTAAGTGACATGAAGATCGTATGTTACGAGTAGGTTTCAAACTATTCCCAGTCACTTATCAAAATTACGAACCTGTAGAACACTCTGCCTAGCAGGCATACAGTGATAGTGAAGGGCCTCTTTAACAAGATTTTGACATTCTGGTATGTTCATTAGATATTCTACAGACTCAATAGAATCTACAATAACAGAAGCGGGGAGAAGGGGAAGTCTGATCGCCATCATCAGATTGGTTGCATGTTCCAATCTGTCTACACGATCATGGTCGATCCACATAAGCATGCATTTAAACACTTCTAGTTCATCATCGGCTGCCAGATCATCTCTCTAAAAACAAAATATCAAATGAAACGTTTTTATCATTGTTCTTGGATCACACAAACAAATATACAAAAAGTACTGTGACTTATTACTCCCCATCCCCATTGTTTGGAAGTAAAACACTGATCCCTCTGTAAGCCCACAGGAATCTTAGAATTTCATGATCAAGCGATATCATGAGTAAAAGTGTTCGATTTTTTAAGAATAAAATCGTGCTATAAGTTTCTGAATGGTCGACAAATGGTGTTTGAAGAAATGTCAGATTTAGTTAAAATTTATAGGGACGTCTTAGTTTTTTCTTTTTCTTTTTTTATACTATACAACTCTTAATTTTATCTTGAAACTTAAGACTTGTTTAAACTGTTTTTTTGTAATATGAAAAGGGCGTTTTATTTCCAAACCTTTAATGCAATTTGATTGAACTGTTATAGTATGCTGTGTGCTTTACCATGTTTTGCTAGTGAATTTGGACTTTCGTTTCTCATAGAACCGTGTTTGATACATTTTTAGTTGATCATTGTCCTTTTTCAGATTTTTTTTAAATATTCAGTATAATAATACGTAATGATGAACCAGCAGGATCATAGCATTGTATACGTGTTGTTTAATTTCGTTTTCATTTATATACTGTAAATTATTATTATTTTTCGCTTTAACAGATGACAGATGATTTACCACAATTATACATCTATTTACTTGAATTCAATGCGGCTAACAAAAACACACAAGTACTTAGAATATAACTCGTCCTAAAAGAACAACAGCATTATAGACTATTAATCTGATTCACACGACAGGGAGTGATAAATGTACTGAACCAACATTATTATTATTATGTTTATTATTATTATTATTACTATTATTATTATTTAAAAGTAGGCATCTAAACCCGATCCAGTCACGCTTCAGTGATTCCCTATATAATCAACCAAAATTTTCACACGAAAAGGGGGGGGCGGGTCCCCCAGCCCCCCCCCCCCCCCCCCCCCTGGATCCGCCTATGTCAGTAAACTTAATAGTATCTATCGCATACCTTTAGTAGCGCCATTATTTGGTCGACTGGTAGTTCTTTATACCTCGATCTTCTGGAGATTAATTTGTAACTTTTAGCTGAAATTTCAAGGCTAGTATCGCATAGATTGTTTAAGTTAAATCTAAACGCAATGTCTAACATTCGAAGACAGTTCTTCAAAGTAACTGTTGATACAAGAAATTCCTCACAAACATCCTTTACATTCAAAAATCCTAACTTTGAAGCGGCTGCTAAAACACTTTCAGTATTACCGTCTGTTAAATGGACTTTTCCCGTGTACATACATTCTAGAATTCCTTCAAGTACATCCGGTTTAATATCAGAAAAATCTGTTTCCTTTGCTGAACATTTCTTCTCGACAAATAAATCATAGAAATAATCAAAACACGTGACAAGCAGAATTTTGTGAACCTGGAAAGCTTTGGTCTGTGAGGTTAAAACTAGATCACACATCAAATTCTGGCGCCATAAGACTTCGAAACCGTTAAGTATTGTATCAGACAAGTTACACACAGATTTTGTATTTTCATTTCTAACCAAGTCGGCGGAGACAGTCCTTTCATGAATTCTTCTCTGTAAAAGACGATCTTTATACCCTGTTCTACATCTTTGAGATGGAAAGTTTTTATCGTTCCCCCCAGTTGCCATTCCCATCGCTTTTCATGGCTCCGAACCCTTCTACAATATAGCTATGCCAATACTTGTGACGTAACAGGACACAACCGTTTTATGAAGCGACGTTATTTAATCATTAATTGAATAGGGTTTGCTAAGGCGTCTCTTTGACATGTTTCAAGTATCGTGTCAGGAAGTTTCTTTAAAGCTTACTGACAATAGATCAGACTCCTTTTTCAAAATCTTGTTAATAAAACAATAGCATGTGACAGTGGAACACTAACATACATGTACCTTTTAATAATTTGAATGAACATTTAATTCTACAAGCCGTTGTTATTTTATTTTATTTCCAGATATCTTATAAAGTTAATAAGATATCTTAGAAGTATTCTTTATAAGATATCTTATCTAATTTGAATTTAATCAGTTATCTTATTCACTTTATAGAATATATAAATTAGATTTATTACGGGTATATAGATGATATATCTCGTATAGTCATAAGATATCTTATTTTTTCCTAGTTCAGGTTTATTATTTTCGATATATTGGCCAACAAGACTGCACACGCTGAAATGTCTCGCCTGCTTAACAAGATTTCACCCCTGAAATGTCTCTCCTGCTTTACAAGATTTCACCCTTGAAATGTCTCACCTGCTTTACAGGACTGCACACGCTGAAATGTCTCTCCTGCTTTACAAGGCTACACACGCTGAAATGTCTCACTTGCTTTACAGGACTGCACACGCTGAATTGTCACCCATGCTTTACAAGAGTACACATGCTGAAATGTCTCTCCTGCTTTACAAGCGAGCACACGCTGAAATGTCACCCCTGTTTTACAAGAGTGCACACTTGTAAAGATTTGTAATTAACTTTATAAGATATCTTATTAACTTCATAATATAGCTTATGAGCTATACCAGATATCTTATATGATTGATTTTTACATCGCGATGACCTTGAGGGCATTCCGATGTATTGCTATCGCCTAGATTTCCATTACGTAACTTTCGTTTTGGGTTTGTAACCGACATATAAACATGATAAATACGCGGATATTAACGAGTGCAAACTAACATTTCTTATCGTTTGTTATAAATACATCTCTTCAATGAATACTGGTCAAAATATTTTTGTTTAGAACATAAATTAATAATATGAAAATGTTTTGTCGTTAGATATATATATATATATATAAGTAAAAAATCATTGATACTATCTATGCACACGTATCGAAAAATTGTGTTAAAGCATGCGGAAGAATATCTCAAGAATCCCGGCAAGGACCGGTAACTCTGTAATTGTTTTTGCGGGAAAATATGAATGCCTACTCATATCCAATCTTTTAGAAAAATCGAATTTTTACAGAAGAGTGTCCACCATGCACTTGCACTGCACTATTATCAGAAAAGTAAAATAGAATGATATGCAAATGGATGAAAATTATATATATATATGTAACTGTTATATATAGATTCTTACATTGGTACCAGTGGATTATCGGATTTATCCAATCGAGATAGTTAAATTATCAATTTTAAAGTCCGAGCCTCGGCGAGGACTTTAAAATTTATAATTTAACTATCGAAATTGGATAAATCCGATAATCCACGAGTAACTATGTAAGAATCTGTTTCTCTAATGATTAAAAAATAAATTTTCTTTTTTTGTTAAACGAAAATCCCCTTCGAGTGCCTTTCACATTCCACGAAGTTGTCAATTTCATTAACACCTGTTAGCATATTTTGATTCATCCAGTTAGCTAAAAAGGTTATGACCCTTAAAATCATCCAATGATCTTTTGAGATCACCGGCAACCACACGTTGATTAAATTTTTTTATACAATGGGTTCGGAAAGGGATAAATTTCCATAGAATTAGAGAAATTAATATAATATATAACAACAAACCAATATATACTGATTTGTATCACTGCAATATAATAGTTATTACGGTGAGGTTGAATTTCCTGTCATTTATTCATCATCCACGCATGAACTTGTCTCAGAAAAAAAATATATCTCTGTACATTAACCTCAGTTTCAGGTAAAGAGATGTGATTTTTTTCTGTGACAAGTGCTTTTGACCATCCACAAGAACTTGCGGTCATCCGATGTTCAGTACTTCAGTACTTTGATTTAGATATCTTGTAAACGTTATAAGATATCTTGAAAATGAAATAAATATAAAAACGGCTTGTCATAGATGTGTACATGTTTTTAAAAGAAAAAAAAACCATCTTTGTAATTAAAGTTTTTTTTTGCAAGCATATTCAGATTAAAAAGGAGAGATGATTGAACTCTGTAAACTAGTTTGACCACATGCAGACAGTATGTAAATCGGGATTTTCTGTGGTTATCTCTCACTGTTGAGTGTGGAATTCGGTGTTGACGGCAAGGTAGCTTTGTGGACAATGTTGTAAGTAATAATAGTTTCGCAACTCGAAAGGACATAAATGCATTTGTTCTTGGTGTTCATTGTAAAACTGGTGCAGCTAACTTTGACAAATGTGTTGAGAAGTACTTGATGAGGACCATCCTTGGACAATCATTGCCAAAACTACAGCAAATCCAATGTATTTCAGAAGCAATAACACAAGCAAGATATTCCTTGTTTGTATTCTCATTAAAACCTGTTTGTTTCAAGGGCAAGAAGACTCACTGAGTTTCGGTTCAATGAAGATTTCGGTAGATCTTAATTGCACTGATCATTTTTGCAATTAACATTTGTCTTTTAGCTCTCATAATTTTTCATAAGATATAAGCCAAAACAGTAAAGAAGCGCATTATATGGGCATCAACTATTCGGGTCTTAAATAATTTCTACAAAATGACAACATTTCAGGATGGTAGACAGTGATGTACTAATATATTTTCCTAGTTCAGGTTTATTATTTTCGATATATTGGCCAACAAGACTGCACACGCTGAAATGTCTCGCCTGCTTTACAAGATTTCTCCCCCTGAAATGTCTCCCCTGCTTTACAAGACTACACACGCTGAAATGTCTCACCTGCTTTTCAGGACTGCACACGCTGAAATGTCTCCCCAGCTTTACAAGAGAGCACACGCTGAAATGTCACACCTGTTTTACAAGAGGGCACACCGTCTGAATTTTCATCCCTGTTTTACAAGAGTGCACATGCTGAAATGTCTCCCCTGCTTTACATGAGTGCACACGCTGAAATGTCTCACATGCTTTACAAGAGAGCACACGCTGAAATGTCTCACCTGCTTTTCAGGACTGCACACGCTGAAATGTCTCCCCTGCTTTACAAGAGAGCACACGCTGAAATGTCTGCCCTACTTTACAAGAGGGCACACGCTTAATTTTCACCCCTGTTTTACAAGAGTGCACACGCTGAAATGTCTCTCCTGCTTTACAAGAGTGCACACGCTGAAATGTATTGCATGCTTTACAAGAGTGCACACACTGAAATGTCTCACCTTCTTTACAAGAGTGCACACGCTGAAATGTCTCGCCTGCTTACAAGAGTGCACATTCTGAAATGTCTCACCTGCTTAACAAGAGTGCACACGCTGAAATTTCTCACCTGCTTTACAAGAGTGCACACCGGTTGAAAAGTCGCACCTGCTTACAAAAGTGCACATTCTGAAATGTCTCACCGGCTTTACAAGAATGCACACGCTGAAATGTCTCACCTGCATTACAAAAGTGCACACGTTGAAATTTCTTCCCTGCTTTACAAGAGTGCACACGATGAAATGTCTCGACTGTTTTACTTATCATGATGGAACTTATATTGAGTTTGTGATATGAAGGTTTCACATAAACTTAACATTACCATCGATCCATGTATTTGAGATAAGGTTCAGACGAACCCTAGCCGACAGACGTGTACACCTTACAATCATACCAACACCATATAAAAAAACATAAAAATGAAGTCAAGGTCATATGAACCCTGCGAGACACAATGGAATCATTCAATACACCAGATATTGTTGATCTATTGCTTACAGTATCTGAGAAACAGACCTAATAAAAAAACTTGATATTGACCTATGAACGATGAAAATGAGGTCAAGGTAAGATGAACCCTGTCAGGAAGACATGTATACCTTACACCAAACATAGTATCCCTATTGCTTATAGTAATAATCTGAGAAATAGACTAAACCACTACATAATATTGTCCAATGAACCATGAAAAAAGGACACGGTCAGACAAATCCTGCCAGACAAACATAACATTCATGCCAATTACATCTGATTTACTGGTATTGCTTATAGTATCTTAGATATAGACTTGACCACATAAACTTTAAACTTGATCACTGATTGGGTCGAGATCAGGTGAACCCTCTCTGAGAAGAGAGGAGTAAAATACAAACAGGATATTCAAATTCATAAATCGAAAACAAACTGACAACGCCATGGCAAAAACTAAAAACGATGGAAAGACAAACAGTAATGCACAAAACACAACTTAGAAAACTAAAGGCCTTATGGTGAGCAATAGTTGTTAACTTCTATATCATTTGGTCTCTGGTAGCTAGTTGTCTCATTGGCAATCATACAACATCTTCTTATTTTTATAATGTAGACTTTGCAAGGATTTCATAAAAGGTATCTACTTCCAAGGTCTTCTTTCTTCTTAAACATAAAGCTTTATACAAAAAGTTTACACCACCTTGCTGCTTAAACCACTAGGTACAGGTGACTGGTATAAAGGGCAAACAATGATCAAATCATAAAAGATTTCTCCATGTGATTATACAAGTCAAACAAGATTGCATGCATTGTCATGCTAAGCATATTACCCCATTTGTAACTCAGAGTATCAGAAAACAGACCAAATAAACTGTTGACAGAGAGATATGTCTCGCCTATTGGCATAAAATTCAGAAAAAGACAATCTGATGGACAGCAACATAGCTTATTAATTCAGTCACTGGACTATGATCTAGTGGGCAGGGCCTGAAAATGGTCAACAAACTGAGATGTACTGACAGTAATGTAACTTTATCATGTTTATAGAAAAATATCGTTGTTTATTATAAGTAGTCCCTATCAATATAACTTGAGCAGAAAAACTTAACATTGAAAATTGCTAATTAATTCAAAGTCACTGGACCATGTCTTTGGGACAGGGCCT